ATCTCCAGTTTCTTTGATACAAATTTACAATTTACAAGATTCAATTTCTCGGATGCAAAGTTTTGTAATCGAAATGATAAAAATGATATGTTTATATTTTATTCATTGATTATACTTCTGACGAAATTCGTCTTCTAAAACAGCAATTTCTTATTTTAAATACCAATAAATTCAGCAGAGCTAATCTGAATAAATTTGAACCCGAATAGAAGAAAGTAAAATAAGCAATAGGGTAAAAATGTCGGGGGGGGATGCTAATAATTTTACCAGTGCTAACAAGTTATGGCTTCGTTGATCAATGCACTGAATTTTAATTATAATAATTAATTCGACTGCTGTGTCACTTCCGTATTTTTTCCCATATGTTTTTATTAAAATTATTCCCTTATTTAAAATTTAACCAGTAAGTACATTTGTAAGTCTAAAATATTTTAGGTCATTGCAGAGTTTTACATGGAAATATAAATCATATGGGAATGATTCTATGCTTTTATTTTATTTTCAAAAATTACGTAACTTAAAAATTCCGTATTAAAGTGTTAAGTGTTGGATATCAGTAAGAGATATCACTTGTGTATTTTCAGGTAATATATAGTAAAATAATACTTCCTAAAGCAGGGAAAAAAATCAAAAAAGGGAAATAAGGGAAAATCATAACAGTAAAGAAAACTGTTTGATAGTACCTTTATCATGAGATTATCAAACAGTTTTCTTTACTGTTATGATTTTCCCTGCCCAAATTATATTCATAAGATCAACATTGTGTAGAAATAACAATACATAGGATTAACACTGGGTAGGATAAAAATTGCACATAATAGTTTTATCAGATCTTTCGTCGCGAAACGCAGTACGAAACTTTTCAGAGAAGCGAATTTCTTCCAACACTAGTTTGAACGAGAGGTTTCTACTCGCAATAGTTACATTCAGCGTGCTGTTTCTCGTAGTAATATTTGGTGGGAAAATTTCCTTGGCAGTTTTGCTTCGGTAGGAGACGATAGAGAGGAACCAATCAGAAGAATGTTCTGCAGCCTTATTGGAGGTCTTTTGTATTTCTGGGAGGAACCTGTTTCTCTGAAAGGTTTCTTATTAATTTTCGCGTCGATAAATCTAATCAAGGGAGTGGACTTAACACCAGCCTTCGCTTGAGACCAGCATACGATCTACTATCTACTATATTGATTTACCAGCATACGATCTACTATCTACCTACATTGATCTACCAGCATACGATCTTTTTATTAGCATATGATAGACATGACAAAAAGATATTTTTATAATGATGTAATAATGAGTAAGAGGACTAATTTGCACATTTCACAGAACGCGGTGCACACTACACAGATTCAATACAGGTCCGGGTACAGGTAGAAGCTAGGCCAGCACCTCCGTAGTACCACAGGTAATTGAGGTATTACTGAACCTAGCTAACTATCAACACAGGCATCCATCGACATTGTGTATTAGGGAGCGTTCAGACAAAAGCTTTATAGTCAGGACATGCATAAGCCGAACATCCGTTACTGGGCAAAATTAAAAAAAAAAGCACCTCCGTGACTTACCTAGAAACGGAACCGTTACTAGGCAAGTCACGGAACCTGGTGTAAGGACTTTTATTTCTAATTGTTCTACCTCTCCAACTTCATGCCAACTTTAGCTGGTGTAGGAAAGAACCAATCGAAACGAAGCAACTTTAACCGCACAATTCCAGGAAACCCACGTAGCTAGGCTACCATTTTCACTTACTACAAGACTTAAATGCCAAACTCTAATCGATTACAGCACAGATTGGATTCACGTGATGCTTCAGAAGCAGAACTTCGTTTGATTGGTTGTCTCTACCCGGGACAGAGGTCCAGCCGAGACATTTTCGGTGAGGTTTGAAAAAATCCCTCATAGCCGCGGGTAGGCGGGACTTTCCTTAGCTAGGCGGGACTTCGCTTCAGACGGGGCTCTTTTTTCTAGGAATCCCTTTCGTTTAAACCAGTGCTACTAGAATCTCGTTTCTCAGGAAAGTCCCGTCTAGTAGGGATTGTAGCCGTGTGTGATACCCTCTTTAAAGTTATACAAAACATCAGATAGATAGAAAAACAAATTCCAAATTCCTCGTCCGGGCTTCCAGATCCCCATATTCTAATGGAGGACAAACTATTGAAAATTTGATGTGACAGACTGAAATTTCGTCGAAATCAATTGCATATTTACGCATATGCAGCTTTACTTAGCATATGCAGCTTTACTTAGCATATGCAGCTTTAACCTGATTGGCTGCATCAATTTTCGTTATTTTCTCCCCGTGTAATGTTAATAGAAATTACCTGTCTTTAGAAAGTCGTGCACAAAGTCATCTCTCTTAAGATGAGTAGCCTTCGAGCGCTTTATTCTAAATCAAACGGACACTCAACCAGCCTACTATTTCTATAACCTATTACTCTAAAATAGGCACTTCAAGGTCGTTGTGACTCTTTTCTCATTTACGATCGTAAAATCATCACCGCACAGAGCGGAATAGGGGATTTTAGCAAAAGAGGATTCGCTCATCCACCTCAGCACTCTTTGCCAACGTTACGAGGCAAATCAGAAGGACAAAAATGGCATTAATGGCATGAAGTCCTATTAAGCCAACATACACGTCCCCTTTCTAAAACAACAAACAACAGACTTCTTTACATTTCTTACTGGTATTATTTTGGTAGCGTGGTAACGCAAAGACGTTACAACTTCTAACGGTATTTTGCGTCCAATGACTTTGAATGCCTGTATTACTTTTCACATCCCGTTTAAAATCCTCCATTAAGCCCCTCCCAAAAAAGGCTCTTTCGGCGTAATATAAATTTGGGCACTCTTTGGGCGTAAAGGGCGTTAGCTCAGAAGGGCTATTAATTTAGTTTTGGCACTTCGTGTTGGTTCACTATAAATGTTGTTTCACTTTTCAAATTGTTTCAACCAAATATTAGAGTCCCGCATTATATTTTAAGAAATTAAATAATGAAGAATCTGCATGAATGTATGTATGTCTCTCGCGCTGCGAAAAAACAACGGTACCTAGACACATCAAATTTTCAATAGTTTGTCCTCTACTAGAATATGGGTATCTGAAAGCCCGGACAAGGAATTTGGAATTTGTTTTTCTATCTATCTGATGTTTTGTATAACTTTAAAGAGGGTACACACACGGCTACAATCCCTACTAGACGGGACTTTCCTGAGAAACGAGATTCTAGTAGCACTGGTTTAAACGAGAGGATTCCTAGAAAAAAGAGCCCCGCCTGAAGCGAAGTCCCGCCTAGCTAAGGAAGTCCCGCCTACCCGCGGCTATGCGGAATTTTTTCAAACCTCACCGAAAATGTCTCGGCTGGACCTCTGTCCCGGGTAGAGACAACCAATCAAACGAAAGTTCTGCTTCTGAAGCATCACGTGAATCCAATCTGTGCTATAATCGATTAGAGTTTGGCGTTTAAGTCTTGTAGTAAGTGAAAATGGTAGCCTAGCTACGTGGGTTTCCTGGAATTGTGCGGGTTCTGAGAATTGTCCCTTTCAACGTCAAATCCTCCGTAGCCGAAACATAATGGGATTGAGGTTTAACGAATTTCTGATTAAGAAGCTCAACGATTTCAAAGCGAGCAATGGCAACACTGCACGAAAGAAAAGCATTTTTATCTCCAGCACGCGACACTGTGTATCAGAAATTCTAAAGATATGCTTATTTTAAAATTATTTTGAGATATTGCTGCTGAATTGAATTTTATGTTTTAAGTGCCAGAAACGGGATATTTAAAAATAAAAGTAACACACAAAACGTTAAAAAGAAAACGCCCCTTTAAACGTAATATAAAATCAAAAAGCTTTCAGACTTTTTTTACTCTTTTTCGTCCAAAGGGGCTTTGTCCCTGAAGGACTATTGTTTTCGTTTTGCGATTTTACATTGAATCACTATAAATGTCCGTTTCACTTTTCAAACTGTTGCCACCAAATGTTAGAGTCCTGCATTATATTTGAAGAAATTAAATAATGAAAAATCTGCATAAATGTATGTATATTTCTCGCATTGTGATAAAACAACGGTACTTAGAGCCATCCAATTTTGAAAGACGCATTACTACTGCGAATATGGGCATCTGAAAGCCCAAATTTGGAATTTGTTTTATGTTCGATTTCCTATTTAGTAAAACTTTAACGAATTTTTGATTAATAAACTCAACGATTTAAAAGCGAGCAACGGCAACACTCTACGAGGGGGGGGGAACCTTTTTATCTTCAGCGCGCGGAACTGTGTATCGGAAATTTTAAAGGTAGGCTCATTTTAACATTATTTTGCGACATTGCTGTTGAACTGAATTTTATGGTTTAAGTGGGAAGAACATGATATTTAATAAATAAAGGGGACACACAAGTTATAAAAACGACTTTTTGAAAGTAATTTAAAATCTGAAACCTTTTCAGATTTTAATTTTTTTAATTATAATTTTAACTCGTCGTGCGCTTAACGTTTGGATCCTAGCGTATTTTGTTCATTATTGCTACAGATATGTTAATGGATTTTATAATTGATTTTTGCCGAGACAGATTTCCTACTGTTAACAGAGCCTTAACGATGTTAGAAAGAGTACACACTTTTTTCGGATATTCGTTTGGGTCTTCTTCGTATGTTAAAGTAACAATTAACGGGTTTTTTCCTTATGAAAATTAATAAGGGTGCTGACTTTTGCGCTTACAAATTTTAATATCATGAATTCCAGAACGTTTTTGAATTGCGGAATAATAATATATCTTATAGGAAAGGATAAAAATATGTATTTTGATTTCCTGTTGATTTACATGCGACGTAGAAACGTGTATATTTTAAGTATAAAAAAAGCTGACAAAAATGAAACAGTTTGGCGATTTATATACGTTTCTTAGATTGGCGACGTTCATTTGGCGACTATCACGCTCGAGTGTGTTCGGATTTTCGGTAACCATAGAAAAAGAAACTAGCGTATTGGAGAGTGGGTGTTCTTTTTTATTTTTTCATTGCAGCTTCCAAAACTCCGATGCCGTGGGAAAGTGTCGGTTCAAAATTAACGCACGGTTATCGGAGTGGACCAGTTATACCGCTCGTTTGCCACTCGCGTGGCGGCTTTTCTTTGACGTAACGCTGAATAGCTTCACTCACTCACTCGCTGTTCATCCTTAGCTGAAGGAAGTCCGACACATTCATAAATTTTGGTTTCGACATGAGTGACATAGAATCAGACTGTGATGATGTTTTTACCGATGATTCGAAGGGCTACAGTTTCTCGGAGTCCAAAGGGTAAGATTTATTTATTAAAGATTTAGCTTTGTTTATTTTTTGTAATTATTAATTCATTTATTTAAAACTTTTTAATTTTAAAATAAGGGCGGTAAAAATAGTTTTGTTTTACTTATTTATTTATTTTGAAATTGATAGAAATAATTCTTAATTCTTAAGAGTTTGATAGAAATAATTCTTAAAAAATTTTTTATCTTTAAATAAATAAAGATAAGAAAGTATTTCAAAATTAAATTTTTATCATTTATTTTTTAAATGTATGTATCCTCTGATTTATTAATATTTATTTTAATTTTCGCGCCTTTTGAATGAGAAATTATTTAGTGACTTGCGTTAAAAGGAAATCTGCATTTTCAGTTGTATACAAGATTATGAAGTTTAATATAAAGTATTAAATTAATTGGAAAATTTAATATACAATAATATAAAAAGCGGATTTTTTTCTAATTTTATTTGGCTTAAGGATACTTATAGAAGTTCGCATTAGTGTATTAACGTGTAAGAGCTGAGATGTTGAAACTATTTATTACTAAATGAAGAATTGTGGCTGTAATTTGCAAGGAAGAAAAATATACGAAATGTTTTTCTTACAAAATATTTATTTCCAAATATTTATACAAAATCTTTCTTTTCAAATGTAATGTTTATTAATTAATTTATATTTTTTAAATAAAATTAATTTTGTAATAACCTTTAAACAAAAAATAAAAACTGAGCGAAATCCAAAATTGAATTTTAAGAATTTTTATGATGGAATTCTTCTTTATTCTGCGTAGATACTTGAATGCAGAAATCTTTCGCAATTTCAACCCTGTTCTGGCTTTTGACAATGAAAGTAGTGTCTCATTTATCCGAACAAATTTCGGTTATCATGTTTTATTAAATAACGTGTGCTGTTTTATTGAATAACCTGTTCATTTTCACAAAAAACTGACATAGATTATTTTTCTTTGCACCATTTTGACAATAATCCTTTTTTGCATTTTTAATAAAACGTGAATGTAAATGTGAAATATCCACTCTGAACTTTTTATTTTTTTTAATTAAAGGAAACATGTGCATCTAAAACAATAGTTAAAACCTGATTTTCATTTCAGTTATACTTGGAATTGGTGAAACAAACGAAAGAATTTTAACGTACTGTAAATTAAGTGCAGAAATATTTACTAGGAAACTAGAAAATTACTAGGAAATGTAGCATTTGAAACGCGTGCATCTAAAAAAAATTCTAAGATTCCATAAGAAACTGTAAGTAACCATGTTTTAGAATACTGTCAACATTTGTGGATGACGAATTTCTTCACTGATTGGCAAAAATTCAGTCAGGTTATACAGCAAGATATTTCATTATTGAAAGAAATCTGCGATGCTTTTATTTTTGGTATTTTATTTATTTTCTATAAATCGTTTGGTTTAGCCCAATATATAATCAACATAATTTCACCTCAAACGTTAGCTTCTGGACAGAGATTTCATCACTGCGAGCTTTTTTTAACATTTTGAATGTGTAATTACTTTCTAATGATGAGAAGATGAGGTTTGCTTAACTACGGAAAAGCACGCGAGGGATATCCGCCTAAGGGAAAGAATGCCTTCATGGAGGACTTTGTAAGAGAAATCAGTTTGTATGCACGTTACACATGATGAGAAGATGAAAGAAAAGGTTAATTAAAAAATCAACTACAGCTCGTTTTGGAGCTTAATGTTAGGTTTTTTTAACCCTGTTTAAGCAAAGAACTACTGCATTAAATTTTAAGCAAATGCAGACAGAACTGTTAACGCGCTTTACTTAAATTGCGCCCACCAGCGGCCGAGCGGTAAAGTCGCTGAACACTGGTAGTTCGGTCCGAGGTTCGAATCCCGCGAACGGGCTGGCTGCGTGGGTGTTTTCGTGGTTTTCCCCATGTGTAACGTGTATACGAGCCAGTTTCCCTTAGAAAGTCCTTCACGAAGGCATTCCTTCCCTTAGGCAGATAGCCCTCGTGTGCTTTGCCATAATTAAATACTCATACTCATACTCAAATTGCACGAAAACGGTATAAAAGAAATTCTATATTTTAATTTAATTATGATTGTAAATTTATTAGCATAACACTATTAAAAAAAGATGTAAAAGGTTTTAGATATTTATAGTTGCAGCAGTAATTAAGGTTCCTTTAAATATAATTGATATAATCTTTACGGTACAGTTTTATACTTTCTCTTTTAATTACACTTTTATCAATGTTTTCAGGAAAAACAAATGACTAAAGATAATACTTTCTTTTAAAAAATGTGATTATAGAAAGTATTTTCCTCTTAGAAACTGATTTCCTATACACCGTATAGAGAAATCCAACATTTTTTTATATTTGATTACATAATGGGCAGTTACACCTTTTCGTTAAGATCTTAGTATAAATATATTCACATTCTAGCAAGAATTGTCTATTTCCGTTTCTTCAGGCTCATTAAAATCACCAAGATAAAATTTATCTTCCCTTGAATCATATAAACTCTAAGCATCATTTTCCTCTTCAAATGAGCTATTTTGTAGTAATTTTCCCATGAACTATTTGTATGATTTTGGGGGGTTATTAAAGAGTAACTGACTATTCGTTTTACCTGTGTTAAACATTCCATAATGTCGTACATAGTTGCTAGTTTCCTTGGTTTATTTTACGTCTGGTCTTCGACAATAATATTTTAATAATTTACATATTTTCTGCGAAAGCTATATAAAAATATTACAGCACTTTATTGGTAAATTGCATCGTATTAAAAACAGTTGTGTCTGAAGTCTACTATATACAACTGAGTTTATAGTACTGTATACATTTCATTTCGTGTAAAATTTCCTGAAATAGACTGTAAAGTCACTTCGTATTTTAATTAACCAGTTATTAAGGTTTAGAGCTTTACTATCACTTATTCGTTCCGCCTTTTCACCAAAATGCGAATTTAGTTTAAGAAGGTTTTGAATTATAACCCCAGAGTTATGCTTCTATATTTCAGTTTCCGTAGTTCTGATTAGATCGCAATTCTTCAGCTTTGCTTTGTTGTTGCCGACATTGAATTGTTACGCCAGTGAGAAGTTTTGAGCCAACTTCGCATGAAATCAAATGTGTAGTCCTTGACTACTAAGCTTAGTTTTAAATTTAGGGAAGTTAGCTAAGTTTAGCAATATCTCAATTAGCTGTAGACTACAGAGGTGCTGGCCCTAGCTTCTATCTGTACCTGTTACTTTAAATTTCAACACGACAAGTGGTGGTTGTTTAGTTAACCACCAGTTTATTTTAAAGTTCTGATTTAATAAAAAGGTGATTTTAAACCTTTACAAGACTCTGTAGTTCTTTCTAGATGAAGAGGTAATTCGCTCTAAGTCTGTTAGGAGTCCGATGCTAGTTTATGCTACTAAAGAAAACTAAACTCTATTAAGGTAATAAAACAGAGTAGTCAGGCGCCTTTCCTTTACAGGGAGTTTACTGTAAGGGTATACTTTACTTTTAGAATTACCTAACGTCATAAGAATGGAATTAAATATTTCTACTATGTGTTTCGAATAATAAATGTATAAAGATATTTTACTGTAGAAATTATATTAGTAAAAAAGAAGAAAAGTAGAAATTATATGAAGGCTGAAAAGTCGGTATTTCATAATAATGCTAAAGTGAATGTCTTAGCTCTAAAATAATAGATAATACTGTTAATTAATATATGTCTTTTTTAAAAAGCTGAACTTGCGGTATTTTATAAATCACTTTTCAAGGTAATATATGTATATATTGTCAGTTTCATGAAAAGATATAAATTTTAATCTGTTGAATAATTTCAAAGTTCTTATTTATTGAGTTCCGTTTCTTTTTTTGTTTAGATATTAAATACCCTTTAATCCTAATCTTCCGTGTATTGTGTTTCCGTAACAGATAATGTATGGATACACATTACATGTTATTTAAATACAATATCAGTATATGATACTTTAATTCTGCGTTGAATGTTGGAAACGTTTTCACAATACTCGTGTGCAAAATAAAGAGAATTTGCATATTATATTGAAATTCTGAAAACTAGTTGACAGATTTTAATGAAATTTAGCACGAATATACATTTATGACACAGAAAGAGATATATCAATCAAAAGTCATTTTATGTGCGCATGATTATCAGTAACGATCATGGATGTCCAAATCCAAGTTGTGATATTGAACTAAAAATGAATCTAATATGGGGTATGGTCCTCTCTCGCAGCCAGACAGGTCGCGCAGCGTGACGGCATGCTGGAGTGGAGACATTTGAAGAGTCCTTGTGTCAGTCGATTCCGCTTCTACCAGAAGGAAGTTTTCAACTCCAGGATGTTCTCGGAGGGGGATGATGAAATGAAATTGTCCTCTCAAGAGCATCCCAGACATGCTGTATAGGATTACGGTTAAGAGATCTGGCTAGCCAATCCATGCTGCGAATATCCTAACTGTCCATGATTCGACCAACTGAACCCAGGACCAACCGTGCCCCTGAAAGTCAAACATTAGGCTCTAAGATCTCTTCTATGTGTACCTCATAGCAGTCAGGGAGCCTTTGTCAAACACGCAGTGATGTGCGGCCGTCCAACATAATGCCTGCCGAAACTATTACACCTCCACCACCACACTGATCCCTTTTCCCTGATGAGGAAGGGATAGTATAGTGTTTCAGTCTTTCTTCAGCTACAGGTACCCTAAGAATCAGTGTCCAGGCTGAATTTCGACAGTGTAAAAAGCAGTATCTCAGGGTAAAAAGCACTGTGATACGAAGTCTGGCTTGTTGTTACACCATGGTACACGTGCTCTTTGTGTGCTGCTGGGAGCAGGACGCAGACATCGAGTTTTCTGGCATATAGCCCTGTTTTATGAAATCTTCTGTCAACTGGAGACCGTGAAACTTATGTTCCAGTAACAGCAAGTAGCTCACGTAAAAGCTGTGAACTATAGTAGTCCTGTGTTGCTGCGCTGTAAGGGCCAAATAATAATTCTCATTCTTCA